CACCCCTCAGGGCTAGCCCACCATTAAGCAGAGTGAAGCAATTGCCTCAGGCAGATGAAACTTGAAAGAAGCAGAAGTAGGCTCCCTTGCCATTTGCTCTGGACTTCCCTGGCCATTCTGGAGTTCAGACTTGTTTGTGCTGAACTGTATGCTATGGAACCTCTAGAACACATTTTCAGGTACAGTGGAAGATGCCACACTGTTGCCAGTATTGAAACTGCCTGCCAGTCCAGTGAGTTTCTGTGCATGGGAATGGTGGGGGGGGGGGAGGATGTAATCTTGTGCAGCAAAAAGGCTTAGGCCAATCCATCTCTCTCTACTTCATCAATGCTACATGTGTTGGCAAACAGCTGTTGTCTGCTATCCTGACCTATCCATTCATTCACAACACAAAGTATTAGGCTACTTTGCTTTGCTTAAATCAAACATTTTAATATAAATATTTACAGACATACTTGGAAGTTGAATGGAATCTGTTCCGGAAGTCCGTTCGACTTCCAAAACGTTTGGAAACTAAAGTGCGGCTTGGGATTGGCTGCAGGAAGCTCCTGCAGCCAAGCGGAAGCCGCAGAAGCCCCATTGGACATTTGGCTTCCAAAAATAGTTCGCAAGCCAGAACAGTCACTTCTGGGTTTCTGGCGTTTGGGAGACAAAACATTTGAGAACTAAGCTGTTTGAAAACCAAGGTACGACTGTATTTTGGGTTGTGGCCAAATGTGTTCATCTGCTGAAGGAAGGCTTTTTGATCTGGTAGAGTCTTCTGTAAGCCAAAGGGTGGAGGTCAATTTTTGCAAAATCCCCCTTTCTGCTGTAGTCTCTTGTGCCACACTTCCCCTGGCTTCTTGAGCAGATTTTGGAAGGGAGGGGTCCAGGGGGCTGGAAGAGGAATGAGGAAATCAGAGAAAAGCCACACACCCCTTTCTACTAACAGAAGTCTCTGAGGAATCAAAAGTGATTTCTTTCATCAGAAGAGCACAGTTGGATAAAACACTTCCCTTTTTTACTAGAGCAGGGGTGGCCAACTCTCAAGAGACTGTGATCTACTTTCAGAATTAAAAACTGGTAGTTATCTACCCCCATTTTTAGGGAGAAGGAAAGCCCCATTTTTAAGGGGTTAAAAAGCTTTGTGGGGAGTGTTCCTTTTTGGGGGGGATTAAAAGCAAGGGACAAAGGGGTAAAATCACTCACAAAAAGATCACTATGGATCAAAACAGCAGCACAACAATGGAGGGCGGGCTGAGGGGGTTTGGCAGGAGTCAGTTTTAGCGACACTAAAGAAAGGGAGCCAGAGATTGACCAAGATCTACCAAAACCTCATGGGGATCTACCAGTAGATCATGATCAACCTGTTGGACATCCCTGTACTAGAGCAACTCCATTACAGTCATTTTAGGAAAGATGTTCTAAACCTGGCATACATTGTCCCACATTAGGATACTTGCATCAAATCTATTACAGTGAATATGAAAAAAAGCCTACACCATCATGAGTTATGTAGGTGAGCAACAGCTGCAGTTTTTTTGAGAGAGAGACTAAGTTAGATTTATAAGGATAACTACTTATTTCTAGTTATTTGTAAAGATATTGGTTTTGAGACAGGTTACACTGCTAGTGTTTTAAAATCCTGTTTTTTAAGACAGTGTCTTTGACATCTAATTAGTTTTTACTGTCTAAATAAGTAGATTATAATCCTTTAAATGCAACTGATCAATAAAGTAATTGAAAGTCTCCTGGCCAGAAGGAATCTTCATTTTCAAGGGTATTATGGGTGAAAGACTACTACAGGTTTCCATGACACTAAGGCTAAAGGTTAAATGAACACTTAGGGTTTCCAGTGATCTGTGAACAACTATATTGGCTTCATAACTATAATTTGTAAATCCTCTGTGCAATGTCTTTAAATTTCCAGAGCTTTGGTCAGAACATTTAAAATATATACTAAAGAAATTCAACACGTGGACTTCCTCAACACAGCAGTTGTCAGCATTTGGAGACATTTTGAAAATAGCTGCTTATGTTTAAGAAGCTAAATAAGCCAATTAATATATGCTTCATATCTTTGTCTGTGTTCACACTCCTAGCTTTTTAAGTTCTTAAAGCGTATTCCACCACTTCTGCCACTTGAATTTCAGGGTCATATGTGTACAAACTTGTGTTCTATTACATTTGTATCCAAATATTCCACTACGGATTCTAGTATAGAAGGACTGAAGAAAAAGAATGCAGAATATAAAGGTGTACATTAAAATTTAAATTAGCAGTACATAAATCATTCAGGGAAAAAATAATTCAAATGGTTATACTGGAAACATTGTTGGCTTTTTAAAAAACTCTATATTTAAGCAAGTATTACCTATATATCAAGCAATTAGTGATAAATCTACAGAGCAAAAGGTACAAAACAACAATAAATTCAGCCAACAACAGTGAATAATGAATAAATTATAGAAAATTGAGATTGGCTTTTAATATTCAAGTGCACTGAAAAAGCTTAACTGTATAGAGTTAATAATTGAATTTTCTATATTACACTCATGCTGACAGGTATATTGAGGCTTTTAGTATATTTGCATAATGTGCCATTATAAGACTGAGGTGCTTACCTAGTTTTCCTTTAAAGAAAATTATTCAGACTGTCTTAATTTTTTAAAAAATGATTTCATTTTTCCATGAGTGAATGTATTTATATGGAGGTATTTCAAGAAAGCATATCTGAATTTCAAATATATAAGACTGCTGCCACAAGCCATAACCAGCAAAATTATCATTCAGCTTGGGACATTTTATTACAGGTACTATTCTCTTCTCATATGAACACTATGAACACTTGAGTTAAAAGTATTTTCAACAAGGGCTACAAAATGTAACAACTGAAACACAGCTATATATGATATAATTAAACATTTGTGGGGCTTTTTCTTGCTAGTATTGTATGTTTTCATTCTGCACTGCCATTTCAATTGGACTTAAATTGCTCTCAAGCAAATAAAACTCTGTTCAAAACAAAAATGATAAGTTGCCTCTAGTATTACATCAACCACCAAATACAAAAAAATCAGGGCTAAGAAGAAAAGCTAAAAATCAGCAGCCAAACACCATAAAACTAATACAGCAAAATATGGCTAATATTACCAATGTTTGTGTGACAATATTTTATCTGAAGTAAGATATCCCATTTCTGGAAAGTAGCCTCTTTTATTCATGTCAGCAAAAATAATGCCACTTAAAAAAAAAAGCAAGACATTAAAATAGAATAAAATGTAGGCAGTCTCATGTATGCTGTTCTGAATTCCTTGAAGAAATAAAAGAATATATATATATATATATATATATATATATATATATATATACATGGCAAATAATTAAATGCATAATAAATAATAATGGGATATGAGTGTATTTAAGCTGCAGATACATCACTTAGCCTACAGTCCTATGCATGGCAACATAACAGTCTTATTGAATAGGGTAAGATTTACTTCTGAGTAAGCATTAGATTGCGCTGTTATTAATGACTGCTTCAAGAGAAGGAAATTAAGGAGGTCGTTATTTCTTTTATTTACAGAGAAATACTAAAGAATAACAAAGGCCAGAAGCCTTGACTGTCTCAAGAAAGGAAGAATTTCTCATCATAGATATCCTTGAACCTGACTTGCTCCTTTCTGCTCCTGTTGCAGTAAATCTTTTCAGCACCAGCAGGTGCAAACATTAACAGCTCAATGTCCTCTTGGCCAATATTTGTGTGCTCTATTTATTCCAATCACAGCCATGGCACTGAATCAGACAGCACCACAGATAGATTTTAAGAAAATACTGCTCTTCCATTAATTTTAAATGTCCTTTTAATCTACATGTAAATTTGAATTGTATGAAAATGCATCATTTTGTCATCAGGAGTGAAAGAAATGGGAGACTTAAAGAGGTCACAGAGTGAAGGTTAGGCTTTGATCTCAAGAAACTAGTAGCACACTTGTAAAGATACAAGGATAAGGAAGAAAATATATTTCCTTGTCATAAAAATGCTATAATCTTTTGAAAAAACAAAGAAAAGGAATCAAACCCATGTTCAGTCCACCATAACATGCTGCCGAACCTCTCTACCTGTCATTCATGATGAATATGCACTGTGAAAAGCTAGATTATTTATTCAGAATTAGCCGTTTTTTCAAATTTTCATGGAGCATTCAGGTCTCCAAGGGGCATGTAAAAGCAGGTCTGTTTGTAACACACAATTTTTAATGGTGAAAATTCATCAAAGTGTCAGGAAATAGTTAATGAGTCAGTTAAGAAGAAGAGTGCTACAGCCTTACAATGCAAAGAAATACTAATCAAATAGGAATTTTGGTTTCATTATGTTTAGTAGTATTAACAGTTCAAACTCCACAAAGATGATCCTTACAATAATGGTAACAATATTCAGGTAAGAAAATTGAAAGAGTATGAATGACTAACTTAGGATCCTCTCCGTAAAACTTTTTAATTTTTTTTTAAATAATAACAACATAGAACATTTATAGTAAAATTAATAGCTTCTTCTGATACATAGTATAAATCTTAATATTTTATGAATTTTTAACGAATGCATTCTCATATATGAAAATAGCATTGGCTTGTGTCTCACCCATTGTCTCTTCAACTACCATAAATGTCCTATTTGTACATTTGTTTGAGGGAGTTATATTCCACACTTCAATAATACTTTCATGGTGGCTTACAAAATATAAAACACAATAATAAATTTAAAACATACAAATTAAAATATACAAAAATATACAAAAAATCAATGATATCACTAGGAGCAACATAAGAATGACAAAAGCCAGCCAAGATATTCTTGCAGAGAAGCTGGTAAAATGTGGGCGAGATTGACTGACCAAGCCCAAAGAGTGCTCACAAATTGTTCCTCGTTATCCTGGCAAAAGGGGACACATGGAATGCCACAGGGTTCTGTCCTATGCCCTTTGTTGTTTGATGTCTTTATAAGATGTTGTTTTATATATATCGCTTCTCGGCCTTTTGGCTAAGATCAAGTGTAGTGCCATTGCCAAATCAGCTCAAATACTTTATATGGAATTTTTTTCTTGAGGGTTTTTTTCCCCCTCTTAAAAAAAAAAATAAACTAATATGGATTTTGTGAGGCCATGGAAACCTTCTATGATGGAATGCATTGATGAATACTTGAATGAAATAAGTCACTAGAAGTTTTGCAAGAAAGGTGCTTATGTGACAAAGAAGATTCAAGGGTTGGTGGTTGGTTTCTTAAAAAAATCAAAGGTAAGAAAAGCCTCTATTAATGAGGTTTGAGAGTTTCTGCAGTTCTAATGTAATGTTAAGGCAGTTTAATTTATAGTTAGCTTGGGTATCAAAATATATTCCAAAAAGTGATTTCTTTATCACAGTTACCTAAGATCCTCTAAATTATTTTGTGCTGTAGATAGAAAATAACACAAATCTTAATTTCTTACCATCTGTAACTTCCAACTGAGCCTTCGCTAAAATGCTTCCAGCAACGGTAAGTGCTTGGCAGATGTAGTAGCCCGCATCAGACCGCTGAATATTTGTAATAGTGAGATCCCCTGTTGGTGACACAGAATATCTGGTGTTGGGCTGGAGAGGCTGGTTTGGAAAAAGAAGATTCTGCAAAGACAATGCAGGCCATTTCAATGCAAAAGTTATTTAATCACCAATGATGCTGCAGTGTAAGCCAAGAGCACAGCAATACACATAAAAAGAAATAGACACAAATAATAAAGTTATTTTCATTGACATGGGTGCAATATGAGTTGCTAAGAAAAGTGGCTGGTGAGCTGTTTAAGGGGAGGATGTCGAGATGCTGTATATAGTCCAAAGGCTGAATTTAAAACACATTACTAGTAGAGTATATTGTTTAAATAAAAGATACCAAGTGACAGCAAGGCAGATTATCATCTTTATCCTTGGTTCAGATCTATCTACTTCAGTACAGTTAAACTATGCCTAAAAGAATGGGCTCAAGGAAGTGTGCACACATTCCCTGGCATCAGGTTGGCACATTTCTGTGAAGTCTCAACTGCAAGCTTTAGGGAAACGGCTACTAAATACAAAGGACCAGCTGCTGATGCATAAACTGGCACTAGGCTAAATCCAGGGGGAACTGTTCTCCTCCCTTCCAGCTGGCTGTGCTTAGTAGGAGAGGAAGGAGAAACAGGTCCAAAGTGAAGGATGCCTTCTAATTTATACCAGTATGTTTGCGTAAGTAGCTGAATGCAACACTACCATAGAAGCATTATAAAAGAGAAGGGGTTTTCTTGATGAGGAAGGAGAGACACCTTGGCAAATTCAAGTGACAACGAGAAATTCAGATTATTTGTTACATACAAATTTAAGCAAGGCTAAAGTATCAATGCTCTTGATTTTGATGATGAAATACAGTGACTGGACTTTTAAAAATATTAAATAGGGTGATGTCTCACTACAAAGCCTGGAAAATTTCATATTAGGATGGAAACATTAACCTGGTTAACCTCTGTTGCTTCATTGCAGCTCAATTAAGAAAAAAACATGTGGGCATAATGAATCACATTGAGCTATGTTTCAAGGTTTGATTATAAACAACTGAGGTATCAATTTTTATGTTACATTTATTTGCCAAAAAAGAGAGAACACTCTACCCTCTGGGATCTGGGTCTCAATATTGTAATTAATTCTGCAGGTTTGTAATTAAACAGCTTCAACATGTTACAATCAGTAGGTAATAACATTCAATTAAAGACACAAGACACATTTTCACCTTAAAATGTTTTACCCTTGAAGTAATACCAATGGAAGAGGATAAAATAGGGTATTAACACTTTTCAATTACGCTAAATGACTTTAATCCTGCAAATGATGTCCTACTTTAATTAGAAGCTCTTCTCTTTATTACAACATGATGGATGTCCACTTTATTAGATTCAAGTGTGACACTATAAGCCCACTTTACATAAACATTACCATGTTATTAAGCTCCTTTTACAAGAAGGTTTTAAAAATGTTTGCTAACAGTTCTTGGTTTAATTTCAAAAATGGGGTTACATTTCCCCTTCAAAGCAATTTTCTCCATAGTGAAGCTAATGGCACTGCACTTAAAATATATATAAACAAATTGCTTTGACCAGTAACCTGACCGTACCTAAGTTTTGCATAACGAAGCAAAACAAGAATAACTAGCAAGCATATACATATTTAAAACGAAGGAGTTTGCCCAACCTAGTCAGTATTCCTCTGGAAGTCAAATGATCTGAGAAAAAGGTGACAACTCGACTTGGCCCTGTGCTGGCATACCTATATACCCCCAAATTCCTAAAAGATCAGATAATGGCGACAAAGGAAATGCAGTCTCCAATTTGAGCTTGCAGAGAACAATTCCATTGTGCATGTCAGAGTCCTTGGGTTCACTGAAATCAAACTTTGGATCCTGGAATTTGTCCAATCCACTGACACTCATGCACAGTTTAGATAATGTTTCCATGACCCAGCAATATGGCGTAGAGTGGTGGTCATGAACCAAAAACTGGCATTCTAGTGGGTTTTTTCCCCAGTGTGTCACTGGTAAGGAAATAAGCACAGAAAAACCTGATTCAGCTTGGTACACTGAAAAACCATAACACCCAGTCCCTGCCAGTTTCTTGCCTACAAATCCAAAATTGGTAACAGTAACATTTTTGGTTTGGAAGAAAAGTAGGCACTAGTAAGTTATGTGCCAACGAAGAGAAGGGCAGTGATTCTCCTTTCTTCAGTGAATAATGCAGTAATCTAAGATCAGCTTTTTATTATAATGAAAAGGAACATGGCACAAACACTGCATGATCAATAGGTAGTTTCCCTGTCCCCAGTAGTGAGCATTATTTATCTTTATTTTAAAAATGTATTAACTGGTTGAATAAAAAACTGTGCTCCAGCTTAAATCCATATATTGTTTGGAAGTTAAATAACTTTTGATGTTGTGGAAATTCTAGACTGCAGCTCTACCTAGTAGCTAGATCTAGAATTGATCAAACCCTGAGTTGAATCTAGAGACATGGTCAAGATGCCTTGGAACTGGTACAGCCTGCTACTTATGACGCCAAAAACAACAACAAATACCAAGAAAGTGTCATTTCTCTGGACAATGCAATGACAAAAAATGCAGCTACAATTTGCTTCATGTAACCATTTTGTCTGTCCTACTTAAAGAGATATGAAATGTGCTGACTGTGCACAGGCTGCTCCGTTAGTGTGTGCTACGACTGCAAGGCCTGTGGGATTTGTTGTTGTAAATAGTCATTCCCAGATCATTGTTACTGCGCTGCTTTAAGTCTACAACTATTATATGTAAAAGTAATCGCACAATGTTTTCAAAACTGAGGGACCAATCTGAACTTATATACAGTTTATTAACCTTTTGGTTTTTTTTACTTTGCATGATGGGGAATTGTTGACCCCAGTGATGTGTGTGAAACTACACGGTTTTGCTGGAAAAGTGAAAGTAGTAATCTATGGGGTTATTTAACTTGCAAAAGGCGTTGTACTTAATAACTTCCGAAAGCTATTTGTATAGATATCTTGGGAGACACATTTGACTTCAATACCAGTCTCGTACAGATGATTTTCTATTGATGGAGAGTTAAAAATTAACATTCTGTATAGGTTTAAATTCATTAACAAAGGATTTTCTTTTAAAATAGGAAACAACTATTTGCATTTATACTATTGAGGATGTAAGTGGCACCTATGTTGAATACATTATCTATGATTTTCTCTATTTAAATTTGCCTAAATCAGCTAAAACCTGATATAGGATTAAAAGGGGCCTTATAAGCATTACAAGCAGTTTAAGTCCTTGCAACATTTAGTGTCTAATACCGACAGGCAAATAAGGGACGCGGGTGGCGCTGTGGGTAAAACCTCAGCGCCTAGGACTTGCCGATCGCATGGTCGGCGGTTTGAATCCCCGCAGCGGGGTGCGCTCCTGTTGCTCGGTCCCAGCGCCTGCCAACCTAGCAGTTCGAAAGCACCCCCGGGTGCAAGTAGATAAATAGGGACCGCTTACTAGCGGGAAGGTAAACGGCGTTTCCGTGTGCTGCTCTGGCTCGCCAGAGCAGCTTCGTCACGCTGGCCACGTGACCTGGAAGTGTCTGCGGACAGTGCTGGCTCCCGGCCTCTAGAGTGAGATGAGCACACAACCCTAGAATCTGTCAAGACTGGCCCGTACGGGCAGGTGTACCTTTACCTTTACCGACAGGCAATCTCTACAATTGAAATGATATTTATAAATATTTTAGACTGTAGAGATGATAGAGCAAATGGAAATAAGTACTAATGTATGTTAGCAATTGTGGATTTGTATTGCAGCTGTTTCAAAGAATCATAGAACTGTAGAGTTGAAAGGGCCCCTGAGGATCTTCTAGTCCAACCCCCTGCAAGGCAGGAATATCAACTACTGTATAATTTGTGATAGATGGACATCCAGATTCTGAGAGTCCACCACTTTCTGAGGAAGTCCATTTCACTGCTGAACAGCTCTTACTGTCAGAAAGTTTTTCCTGATGTTTAGTAATAATCTCCTTTTTTGTAACTTTAAGCCATTGGTTTGGGTCCTAGCCTTCGGAGCAGGAGAAAAAAGGTTGCTCCATCTTCCATGTTTCAGCCCTTAAGATATTTGAAGATGGATATAATATCTCCTCTAAATCTCCTATTTTCCAAGCTAAACATGCTCCTTTGAGTGCTCCTTGAAAGGACTGGTTTCCAGACCCATGATCATTTTGGTTTGCCACATCTGCACACGTTCCAGCTTGTCAATATCCTTCTTAAATTGTGGCACCCAGAACTGGAGTTTGTACTCCAAGTGTGCTCTGACAAAGACAGAATAGAGAAGGACTATTACTTCCCTTGATTGGAATACTATACTTTTGTCGATGCAGCCTATAATAGCATTAACGTTGCTTGCTGGTTTGTTTGTTTTGTTGCTGCATTACACTGTTGACTCATGTTAAGCTTGTGGTCCAATAAGACCCCTAGATCCTTTTCACATGTACTACTGGCAAGCCAGGTGTCTTCCTTTTTATATATGTACAGCTGATTATTCCTGCCTACTCCTATTGAAAATCATTTTGTTAGTTTTGGCCCAGTTCCCCAATCAGTTCTGGTTATCTTGAATCCCTATTCTGTCTTCTCCAACATTAGCTACCCCTCCAAGTTTGGATTCATCTGCAAATTTGATGAGCTTCTCTTCAATTCCTTCATCAAAGACATCTATAAAGACATCAAACAACAAAGTGCCTAGGACAGAACACTGTGGCATTCCATTTGTCTCCTTTTGCCAGGTTAATGAGGAACAATTTGTGAGCACTCTTTGGGGTTTGTCAATCAATCTAGCCCACATTTTACCAACTTATCTACAAGAATATCCTGGGAGCTTTGTCAAATGCCGCATTAAAATCAAGGTATGCTACATCTACAGCATTCCCCTGATCCACCAAGCCAGTAACACTATCCCAAAAAAGAGACAGATTTATCGGGCATGTCTTGTTTTTGAGAAACCAATCCTTTTCTCGGTGCTCATGAACTAATTGTTTGATTATCTGTTTTAGGACCTTTCCACAGTCTCGCATGGGCTTCCTACTCTTTGGATCTACATATTTCCTTTCTCATAAAAGCCTAATACAGAAGTAAATGCGCATGCAGAATAACTGTGCATGCATACCATGAACATTTCAACCTCAGAGCCAATATAACTGTTTCAGATCAGAACCACCAAGAGAACAGATAACCTACTCTAAGTGGAGATATTGTTTTCTGCATCCCTCAAAAAAGCTGAATGACTGACTTCTAGCATACTGCAATTTAACTGCTTTTTGCATAAAAATGCTCAGCACAAATGTTTGATCTTAATGTGTCTCTGGATATACGGTATTTTAGTTACATTGGCTGGGTGACATTGGCTGTGATCCTCACAATTATGATGTTTTACCTCCATTGACTTCAGTGGAGCTTATGATTGTAGTCATGGTTTCAAAGGGTACATCCCCCAGCCATGGCTTTTCTTTCAGCAGTGGAACTCATGTTAACTTGCTCTAACTGTGGTGTCCAACTCTGTTCTAAACTGAGCAATTTTCTCCCTAAAGTGTGTTGCAAAATTGTAACAACAGGCTACCAAGGGGATCGGAGCAGATGGGGGGGGGAGCCCATTCACCACTTGGAAAAATGATTGCAGATGCAATAGTGGTGGTGAAGTAGGGTTTCTTCACTGCCACCACCATCACATAGCCATGATTATGGACTCTCACCCCTGTCAGTTCAGGTTCCAACTGAAATTTATGCCACCCTCCTATATCGTCACATGCGGTTCACTAGAGCATCAAAGCAACTGTATCCATGGCTCTAAGCATCTCATCATTTCCTAGTGTGACAGGACCCTGGACAGCAGCTCCTTGCCCCCAGCTGTGAAGAGGTTCTCCGACACCACATCTGAAAGTATTTCCATCAGTTCGGGAAAGGAGGTTGGAATAAAACAGGGTAGACAGGTTACTAGCAACATCCCTGCTCTGTCTCTTTGACCTAACACCACAACTAATCCCTCAGACCCATATACAACGTTACTAAAAAGAAGACTGAATTTTTACTGGTTTCATGAGCCCCGTTTCCCACCCCACTGACCAGGAATGGTGTTGCACCATTTAGTTTAGTTAATATAGTGGCACCCAGGTCTTGGTTATACACAAGATCAAAGTATGTGTGTGTTGGTGAAAATATTTCATTTTATTAAAATTCTGTCCGTTTCATTAGATGACCACAAGTTTTAGTATTATGCATAATTTTATAAAACACTATTATGCTCTTTGTTAGCCACCTTTTTCCAAAGTAAAAAGCTCTTTTCCTTATAGGGAAGATTCCCCAATTTGCTGGTAATTTTGATTGCCCCCTTTCTCCCACATTTCTAGCAAAGTTACATGCTCAGTCCTTTCCAAGCGAAATTCATCTTTTTCAAATCAGCTGTAGATTGGGACACTCTTCATTGAGCTTAAACACCTCAATATTTCTTTCCAATTATTCACCATAGTTCAGACTCCGTAAGCGTTTATGTAGATGATTTTTTAGCTGTAATGCCTGCATCACAGGGGGTTGGACTAGATCATGGGTAGGCAAACTAAGGCCCGTGTGTGTGTGTGTGTGTGTGTGTGTGTGGATCTGGCCCAATCACCTTCTAAATCTGGCCTGCGGACGGTCTGGGAATCAGCGTGTTTTTACATGAGTAGAATGTATCCTTTTATTTAAAATGCATCTCTGGGTTATTTGTGGAGCCTGCCTGGTGTTTTTACATGAGTAGAATGTGTGCTTTTATTTAAAATGCATCTCTGGGTTATTTGTGGGGCATAGGAATTCGTTCATTTCCCCCCCAAAAATATACTCCGGCCCCCCACAAGGTCTGAGGGACAGTGGACCGGCCCCCTGCTGAAAAAGTTTGCTGACCCCTGGACTAGATTATCCTTGGGATCCCTTCCAACTTTATAATTCTATGAAACATGGCAATGGTGGAAATGGTAAGGCCAGTACAGAGTGGCAGCCATCATATTTGACAGAAGAAATATGAATATTAATATCTCAGCTTTTTAAAGTAACATTTTTAGCACAGGAACATTTGTATATGCTATAATGATATAAAGAGAAGGGGAAGAATAAAATTAACATTAGATGACTCACCTGGCTGCCATCTTTTTGCCAAAACACAGCTGGCTGGGGATTTCCCTTCGTTTCACATGGAAAGGTCACTGTTCGGCCCTGAGCAACAATCTGATCGCGTGGCCTTACCACAAACTGTGGAGGTGCTATGATGTGAGAGGTGAAAATATGTTGTTAAGAAAGAAACATTCTTTGCAGCTATATGTAATATATAAAACGGGAAAGGGCTGCAATTATTATTATTTGTTCCAGAGAATATAATCTCTGACTTATTAAAAAAAGACACATTTTCTAAAGATAGGAAAAGTAGCCACAAGTTGTGTAAAAGCCAAAGGAACAGTATTTGTAAAAGCCAAAGGAATAGTATTTTTGAAAACAAGATTCAGAGTTGTGCCAAAATACAGTTTAGATAAAGGTACTGACAAATTTCCACCCAAATGCATACTAGGATTTTATAAATTACCTGATAATGTTTAGCAAGGAAATATTCCACTATTCCTTCCATTTTTTATTTAACCATTTGTAAATTTGTAACATTTTACATACATAAAATTTGCTGCAGTTTTCCATTTGTGTCTTTTATTCTTATAGGCTACCAATATGCATGAACACATTGTTTAAAAGAGCTTGTCAATGGGGATCTAGATACAATCTTTTAAAAATATTAATAGTCTTTTTTGTGCTATGATTTAGCACATATTTGCATTGATTAAATCATGGTGCAAAAGGAAATCCTGCTGCAAATGTATGGTTTCATTGAGAATCTTTTTGCATGATGCTCTAATCATGTGCATATGTGCTGTGCACTGCCATTTAATCTGTAAAGGAAAAAAAAGACAGTAGCTAATTGAAAACTGCATACGGTTCTGAGATTTATTTTAGAAATTCTCCAAGTTAAAGTAAAAGGCGAGTATAGTGGAATACAGGGCAGAGCCAATCCACGGAATAATAATTAAATGGAATGGGGGAGATTATCTCATCCTTGCTTTTCAAATGTCTTTCCACTTACCCTCTATGGCACTTTTCATTTCAATTAATTTCCTAAGCGTCCCTAACAAACAGCAACAACCCACAGATGACCAAGCAGGAGAAAGCTACAGCATTACTCATCGCTTGACATTAACAATATTATTTGATCTCCAGAATACTGTACATCACAATGCAAAGCCACAGTGTGAAAAAACTGTAGAAGACACATAGGCTGAAAGCACATTTTCCAAACAGTGTGTGTGTGTGTGTGTGTGTGTGTGTGTGTGTGTAAACATGGGCACAGGCATATACTACATGAGGCAGCACTGCTTTTTCTTCTGAAACATAGATTTTTGACACCTTTGATGTTACAGTAACTGCAGCTATATTAAGCACATAGACATTAATTTGTTGATAATAAACATCGTAAGCTCCTTCCCAGAACTTGATTTTATGGATTGGACACTTTAGGCATAAAATAGCCCAAGATCAAAAAGTTTAAAGAACAAATAAAAGTAGAAGTCTAAATGTATCAATCAGTCTGTTGCATACACTCTTATAAGACACTCAGGTGATGTATGTGATTTTGGAACCTGCAACAGCTGTTGGAAATGCTGCTTCTCCTAGGTTGCATATACCTAATAATCTATAATATATCATGTTACAATACCTGTTGAGAAAAATATTTACTGTGTAACAACCAAGCTTTTTGCTATCAAGCAATTAACATTCATTGCTTCTGGTCCAAAATTAACAGGTCATAGGAAACATTTATGTTTGACATTTCCAAGTTAAAGGCAATGGCTCTAAAAGAAAATATATTTCATGCTTTTCAGAGAATTAGACAAGATTAAAACAACAACCAGCAAGAAGAATTAAGATTAGAGGCCTAAGACACTTTCCCCCTAGAAGCACTGTTTGGAAGCAATGTAAATACTGTACACAGTAAATTAGATTTGATTTCTGGCAAATTATGCTTTGATACTATGTTCAGCAAGCGCTGGCTTCAATCAATGTCACACTAAAGCTCTGTTATGCTAATAGCAGCTTGGGAGGGCAAGTTGGCTGATATGGAAATGAGATGGTTGAACATGAATAGAAAGCACAGGCCAAGTACGAGGTGGGTATTGAGATGAGGGGATGGGACCCTAAGGTTAATCACATCATGTTCAGAGTTGTTTTTACAGAGGAAGATTGTATTCTACAGCAGGAATTAAAAGTGAGGCGCAAGACAGGAGTTGTATGCATTTTTATGTTACTCAAGACAGTAACAGCAAAACATTCCCCCTCCCACCCCTGAAATGTCGTTTTGTGCCTGACTGAATGGCTTTTAAAGGTCACACAAAGTGATACAGTTATTTTGTAGCTCAAGATTTGGTCTTGAGTCTTTAAAAGCAGTCCTCTATCTGCAGTCCTTATCAGGCTTTTTTCCCCAGCTGGAACTCACCGGAACTGAATTCCAGCACCTCTCAGGTGGGTGCCATTGCCATTCTAAGAGAACAAGAGAGGCATTCATAGTGAGATCTGGCCTCTGTTTTTCTTGGAAAATAGCACTGGTCCTTATATACTAATCACTAGCATAACAAAGGTGTTACTGAATACTAATAAAATTCTCAGGCGTAAGGGTAAAAATGGATCAGCCAGGCAGAAGCTGCATTGCACCACTTCAGTTATTCCCTACTGTAGTCATAAACAGATGAAGATGTATCAGGTGGTTGCAAGTTAGAAGAGCAAAATGTGTCACAGCAACCATTGCATTGTTAGGTAGGAAAAACAAAAGGAAGTAGCAAATGCAGGACTCCTAATTTTCTCGAAATCCATTAGAATAGAGAAGACAACTGAATTAATTTAATGGGGGCTCTACATGGTTGTAGCATCAATATATATACATTTAACTATAACGCCTTGAAATGTTTAACCAAGTTTGTCACAGTGGGATGAATCGGTTGCTAACTGAACACAGAAAGAAATAAAAATCTTATATCTCAGGCACTTAATGGAATGTAACTTATAAAGAAACCAGAACGACAACATCAACTTTAAGGTTTATTTAAATCCAAAACTGACCTTTTTGAAATGTAATTAAAAATTATTTTTGGAAAGCTTACAGTTCAAAAATGGGAGCTCACTTGAGACTTTCATGATTTATTAACACAATGTTTACCTCAAAGGAAATGGTGTATCAAATGAGATCTTTAATTCATGATGGAACTCGTGCCTTCAGGCTGCAAGATCTAAAACAAATACATTCTGAAAGTCCTCTTCCAACTGTAGTTAATTTATTGTCTGCACAAGGACTGGAAGTTTAATTGCTTAAATCTTTCAGCTTTGAGATTCATTACCTTAGTAACCTACTTTTTCTCTATAACTGAAACTGAGCTACTCAATGTAGAGTCCTGTGAACCCTGTTCCTAAAACCTCCTTGTTTTGTGTCTGCAGTCTTCATCCACATAATCTCACAGAAAAGCAAAAAGTTAAGAATATTCAAAGGTGAGTCTCTGCGAAATAAATAATGTTTCCTTTAAAGTTCCATGAGTGATTCAAGTACAGAATTTTCAGGAACCTGAAGTTTCAGACAACATCCTTTTGCAGATGGATAAATGAAACCTGGTCTCAACTGTTAAGGGAGAACTGAGCTAAAATTATAGTTTGATGATCTATGACTTCAACTTAACTGTCTAAAATATATCAGGGATCTTTAGAGCTTTGGTAAAATGTGTAAGGATTGAGTAGCAGGAAAGACTTTACAAGAAAGCAACTCTGGTTGTCTAACAGATGTCATCTTCTGTCTATTAAGATGAGTAGCTTTGCACCTACCTATCTGCTCTTAACTACTTATTTGCTGAAAGCCTAGCTCCTCCACTGAAATAAGGTTCCCAGAGTGGCCAACAAATAAAGAAGAAGATATTAATTGTGTTTTGGAGTTAAAGTCTATTAGGAATAAATTTCCACTGGATTGTGGCCATGTGTATCTATTAATTATTCACAGATTTTAAAGCAGTGGAATAAATTTCTGCTATACATTACGTGGATAGTACAATGCTTTCATTCTACATTTTAGTTTGATCTCTCTCATTTAACTTTGCTGCTTTCTCACAGTATTTTCCTTTATTTGGATTGTACTCCCAAGACTGCAAGATGGCAGTGGTGATGGAAATGTAATAGTAGGTAAGGTATGTTCACTTCACCAACACGCCTCAAAAGAGAATGCTTGCTTAGGCTGATGAAGCAGCATTTCAGCTGGCTTTCTCAATATAAATTGTAGCATATTAATGAAAGAAATTAATCTGGAAAAGTTGAAGTTTCTATTATATAAGCCAAAGTGTAGTAATCTGGCTCCATGACACCTGTTCTTCAAACACTTTTATGCTATTTTAAGATTTGTTTACATCAAAAGGGAGCAAAATATCTTTAATTTAGAGGCTGTTAATTATCAAAGAAAAATAACACCTCGGTCTCAGTCATGTTTTCAGAAGTTCAATATCCTGGTTAGTTCAGATGTAAAAAAAAAAAAGAGAGAACAAAAAGGGGGGGGGAGTGGTACCCAAAGACTAATATTTTGCTTTTCTATGTTTCAGAACCAACCTATCCTGCTGTTGTACACTTCTCAAAAGTCCCTGTTTCACTCCTCCCTGTTCCTGGCCACACTGGAAACAACATATCACTAGTTTTGGTTTGTCTTGTTTTCTGAACCTGGGCTTCTGGTTTGTTTTACCCAAACCACAAAGAACAAGCAACAAGCCTGGGCTCAGATGACATGTCAAACCAAGACTAGTGGTTTTTTGCTGTGAGTGGAAGAGAATCAAAGTGGAGATTT